ACAGTTGAAAGGAAGAACCTGATACTGCCGTCCGAAAATTTCCCAGACGGAACCACAGGCAGGCCGTCCTCAACAGCAGCGCTGATGTCGAGAAATACCAAAATGAAGGTAAAGAGGAGCCAAACCGTCATGTCAGCAAGGTGGACTCCTACGCTGTTTATTACTTTGCTGAATGATAAGGTGGGGAATTTCTTACCGGGACAGGTGGGACAGGCTCTGGGATAATTAACCCACTGATCAGAATCTCACCGTAGATTCGTATGGCAAATGTTGTACCTGCGTCCATACCCAAACAGCATATCTCTGGGATCTTTCTCTTGGGCATGGTCAACCGTTTCGATGGAGCGCTCCGGCCGGAAAATCTCAGGGTCAGTGTATGTATTTTTGTCGCGATAAAAGAGCCTGAGGTCGAGATGTGTCAGTTAAATTGTTTGTCCAGAGGATGAAAGCTTGCCAATTATTTGTGAGAATAATTGCATCTTTAGGAATAAAGAAACCACTGTGCACATCATTCTCCGCTGCAACGTGGGGAAGACCTGCAGATATCAAGTTATCATACTTGCCAAGAGTCCGCGAGCCAATCGTACCAATTGGTCCGATAGAGTAGGTACGAAAAATCTCAGAAATGAGCGCCTCGGTATAAGGTAAACGGGGTCGATCGGCCAACCGCGGCGAGTTACATTGTCCAAGAACAGTGTCGAGCTTTAGTTGCGCTTTGCGTTGAGCGTCGGGCCGTAAAACCATAGCAAGGAAGAAAGTCTCGATCACGCCTGCCGTGCGAAGAGTGTTTAACATAATTTATACTTAGTAAAACTTGCACAGACAGTTTCAGCTCCGCCTAGGAAAACGAATCTAACAGGTCTGAGGATGCGCATGTGTACAACGTACCACTATAAATGCCGGCGGCGGCCCATTTGGTCAGTCGCTCATCCTCTCTCCTGTTGGAATCGAGAAGATCAGATACAAAACACGATATAGAGGCTCCCATAGCCTGGCACTTTCATCAGAAATGAAGGAGAAAAGGAACATCGAACCCACCATCTGCTTTTTAACCCAGTCATAAGGGGTATCGAGCATGTTTTGGAGGGTCTGGTGATAGTGGGCTGCTTTCTTCTTCCAACCGGCGCCAGGGAACCATTGTGGCACAAATCGAACTAAACGGGGGTCCCATATCATTCCTGATTTCGGCGAGACAGCTCACGGAGCGGCAATGTATCCACTGCGAAGGCATTTGTTGCTGTCAACTCAGAGAATTGATCCATCGCGTCGTCAACCAATTTCACCAGCGGGTCGTGTTTATCCTCAGCTTGGTACCCATACGTAATTTTAAGGACGATGGCTCCTGCAAAATTTACGCGAGAACTTATTGTTATGTTCGGATCTGAGAGGAACCACACACTCCGCACCTGTAGCCATGATCTTTCCACATGTCCGGGCGTTGGAGTACACTACGCAGGAACGAGTTGGTCGCCGTTTCGAATATATGGTTATACGAGGTCTCAATCTCGGAACGAGTGTCCAGACTTTGCGCCAGCAAGCGACGATAGTTGAGCCATGTCTTGCCAAATTGGATCAAAGCTGGCCTCCATCCAACCCCCCGAGTTCCCCTCCCATGACAACGTTGGGACGGTTACTATAGATCCGGCTTTTCTTGTCCAGCATTTGAGCTGCATAATTCACATCATTCAGGACTATGATGGACGTGCCGAGCACCCGCAGATGAACGATAAGACCTGGAATCGGGATAAGTGTCCGGTGAAAAAATCCGAGAGCACAGAGAGCACCGTGTATTTTAGCCCACTGAGAAAACGTCAACCATGGCTGGGATTGAGGCAGATCAGTGATGTTTCCAAAGATCGGTACACCCCTCGGTCCAGGTGGAAGGGGAGCAACACTCTTCTTGGTCCTAGCATAGTAGAGACTGACAATGAGCACAGCTGCCCCAAGAGCGAGCATAAATGTCTTGTCATTTTGGGGCATGATGGAAGAGCGGGGGTGATGAGGTAGGTCGAACGTGTAATATTTGTGGGCGTGAGTGGGCGACTTCCAGTTGTGGCCTGTTGTGGCCTTCGTCGGCTACATGACTCGCAGGTTGCAATCTGTTGCAATACTCCGTTCGGTAGTCGACATCGGTTATATCAAGTCGGCTTTCAGAGAAACTTGAGCGCTTATGTGACTGCACATAAGTAATTATAAGTAGCCGCGCTCCAGGACATCATAGGTTCAAAGTCAGCATATGCAAACCTCACTGGTCGTGACAAAGCTGGAGCGTGGCATTCTAGCCGTCCGATGGCCGTTTTATCTTCCATTCATATAGTAGACTCGTCCCCAAGGCTCGGAAGTCTGAAAAGTTGAACAACTTGCAAACATTCACAAACAAATGGTTCCGTATACCCAGGATGTAGATCCTTTATGACCCAAAGTACGACTTGATACTGGTCTGAAGCGATTTACCCGTCTGTATAATCCCCCCCAAGTAGCTAGGCGTTGATGACTGAGCGACAGGACTCGGTGTTGATACCCATGCGCGGACGAGAGGATGCCCCGACAGCGGGGCATAGTGACACTGTTGGAAGAGCTCCAGATGGCGATTAACCAAATCAGTGGCGTCAAAAAGAGGAACACCTAGTTCATATCAATCGTTGTGATTCGGACTTTACAAAGACGAAAACCGACGAACAGTCTTGTAGAATTTCGAGTGCTTGGCTGGGATTGAGTTGTCGCGAGGCCATGACTGCATCCAGTATCCAGTAGGTTAACATTTTGAATCTGTTTCGAAAAAATGCAACGCACGATAGGCGCATATAGCGATACCACCCCGGATTTCGTCCATGCAATGCAGAAAGACGCGGGAGTTGCTGTTCTGCAGGGCACCGATGATAAACTGGCAAAGGAGAGGGAGCGAGATAAGAAGTGATTCTTTAGAAGTCTGGGCGACAATGAAATGCTTGTGGACACGATCCACAAAAATGTTGTCAACGCTGGAAATTTGGTCTGGTGTAATGGAGACGACATGTGTGACCCCGAGATAATCGAGAAATGTGGATGCGTGGTCTTTATTCGTAGGAAAGTCGCTATAATTATGTTTGGTGGGGATCAGCTTATAGTGTGGCGGGACGTACAAGCTCAGGAACAGTCGGTTGGGGATGATGGTCAGACCATCTATCACACGAAGAGAATGAGTTTCGTCAAATTCTTGCCGTTTCCGCCACGCGATATAAAGGGGCGCTGAAGGAGAGGGGTCGCAATTTGATTCGAAGAAAACTTGAAGTTGTCGAATAAAATTATAGTTTGGTCTGCTTCGTGGCCGGCCTGCATATGCACCCTGTAAAACCATAAAGAGATACAAATGCAAATCTCTTACGGGTTCGAACGACTCGTATCGCTTGCGAAGCGGATAGACGACGCGAAAACATGACTGCAAACGTCTTGTCAGACAACACACAGCTTCGTGAGAATCACGTACGATAAGCGCAGACCACCGTTGCACTACGAGAAATTCCCATAACACAATGCACGAATACCTTCCCTCCGGCGTCCAAAGCGTCTTGGATGAATTGACAAGTGATGGGAAGATGCTCCAGGATATCAAAGTGCTCGTCATCCCGCATTGGGAGAGTAAAGTGCTTCACTGTCGGGCTGGTCGCGAGATGGTCAGGGCAAACAGAAAGGATATGCGTGATTCCTAAACGCATCATCGATTGGGAGGACTCTGCCGCTGACAGGCTGAGAGGAAAAGATGTCAAGTCAGTGTGAAGCCGGTATCACGGTGCAGTCGGACACTTGCTTTCCTAGGTATAGTTTGTTGTCAATGATAGAATCGAAGCTTTCCGCATCGCGAACAACTTCCTCGCCTTGGAAGCGTGAGGGGTCGACGACAGACGGGATGGATGAGCTGGAGTTCATTGTGGAGGGAGGAAGGCTGTGGCATTGTCATCGCGACTCCTTACGGGAAACAGACGAACAGGGGACGTTTGACAGTGTTTGGGTTCGGGTCAAATTTCTTGTGCGCAGATCCCGATGTCCCCGTATATCGAGCGGATTCTGAGACTCTGAGTCGGGGCATGAAGGGAGTCGGTTTCAGCGGACTTCTAGTTGTGACGAACACCTGATTGTGGGCACTTGCAGCGCGGTCCGTTGTAAGCTGAACAGCTTGCGAAATGGGGCGAAATGGGGCAGAAAAAAGTGTCAAGTGACTCCTTCACTTCAGCGCTTCAGCGCTTCAGCGCCGACCTGCCCAGAGAATCGAGATGATGGCTGTGAGACAGCCTTGACTGCGCTTGCACATATTTGTGCTAGCACGTGATTGCCTAATTTATTTTTCGACCGAAACACTTTCAACTCAATCTTAGCTTGATCTTAGCTCACTTCTCCTGCAACTTTCGACAGGTCTTTCTGGAATGTTGGGCTAGCATGAAGTCTCCGCTCTCCATTTTCTCTGCAATGCCATACACCGCGACCGGCCCTAATTGTTTTACGATCTGCTGGACCACTCTTTCCGCTTCAATCGCAGATTCCGCTAACTCCCGTCCTTGTCGACTGCCATGGCAGGTCACTAGTGTGTGGCACTAATACCAATAGCAGTTCCTACGTCGCTTGGAGGGAATAAGAAGATCCACGCCTTTTCCGGGTGTATCTCAATGTTCTTTGTGCTCCTTCCTTCGTCCGCGCCATAGCTCAGCTGGGAGAGCAGCAGACTGAAGAGTCGCAGTGTATCTGAGGCCGGCTCTGAGCTGCTCAAGAGTGTGCCAGTGACGGCGAAGAAAAGCCTCTTGGATCGAACAAAGATGTACCTCAATTTTTGATTTCAATGGAGAATTGAGAATAATCTTTCAGAACTGGATTTTCCGTTCGGGGACAGATTTTCTCTTCAGAAACTCGATGTACATATGTACACCTTTGAATTCGAGTCCGAAGTCGGTGCGAGCGCGTTCCTGCAACAAATGAAACGTTGAACGCCTGCAATATGTCAGGATGCCTTCATAAAAATTGTTCATAACGGCGTTATAGCTCAGTTGGGAGAGCAGCAGACTGAAGTTTCTTCTGTAATCTGAAGGTCCGGTGTTCGAGCCACCGTAATGCCATGTTTTTGCTTTGTGAACGCGTTGCTTGTTTTGTTTTCGTCGTGCGCCGTTGGATTTGGCTTGCAGTCGCGTCTCGCGGTACACCTGTTTCCATACAATTGTGTACGGGGAGCAGAAACAATCATGCATATCTAGCTACATACATGCCGCGCCGGTGATAGGCTGCGGTAGCAGGTAGCGACCGTGCTCGTCTCTTCGGTGTGGCGCAGTGCAATAAGCCTGTGATGCACGGGTTGTTGAATGGGCTTACCGTCAGAAAGCCAGATGTATGTACATACATCGCTTGGATTTGTTCATAACCAAAATCCAACAATCCAGCGATGTTGTGGCAGGGCTTGGACTTGAGCGCTTGAGCTGTGAGACGCAGAAATTGAACGCGATTTGTCAATATCTAAGCGGACAGAGTGAGCAAGTGCAAAGATTTGAACGGGTATATGCATACCTTGCAGCATAGAGGGTCGGTTTTGAGGCGCGACATCGAAATTTCTAGCCGAGCGCCGAGACTTGAAGTACGGGTATCGAGTTTGACGTTCGAGTTTGAAGCTGAGCATCGAGTTTGGCGGCGAGGGTTGAGCATTGGTGCGTCTTCGTCGTCGGACCTGTTGGGGGACACCAAACCAAGTCAGTGGTTCACTCAACAAGTATTGAGATACGAACCGTGCATGCAAATCAGCCGCCGTATCCACCTCTCGCAGGGATTCCGACAGGGCTTGGGCGAGGGAGGCAGGCCCTTGTTTGGCCAGTTGGCTGGGAATGCGTTAGAAGCCAGGGACATACATAGAGCATGGACCACAACGCGTCTTCCAGCGTAAAACGTTTTCGTGAGTCGACGGAGAGCTGCATCGTCGGTTCAGCTAGCGCGGCTGAGATCGCGGCGAAAGTTCTGCGTCGGCTTGCGTCAGATTATTTCAGGGCAACGACGTACTTTCAGCGAGTGTTGTGTAGAGAATCACGCTGGGTTGCAGTTAATATATCATATGTACACGCTACGGAATCATGAGAGTCGAAACGTACTGCCACATCGTTCGGTGCGCACTTGCTTGCTCGCTCCCTCGTCGCGTGTGCTGGGCGGGAGATGTAGCTGTGCGGTGCTGATTTGGAGGCAGAGGAGAGCGGCGGGCAGCGGGATGCGACGGGAGTATACCCAAGAGCGGAATGCGAGGGTTCTACGTAGTTGCGTGAAGGGTGAATAATGACTAGCGCGGGGTCGTGCGTCGTTTGGGTCGAGACACGAGGTACGCATCGGCGCGCACATTGAATCGCCGCTTGCATGGGCAGATCCAGGGGTCTGATCGCTCGTGCTGGGGAGAGAAGAAAGGCGGCTCAACATGCATACGGCGCCCTTGCATTGCAAGGATGGACTGTTCTGCGCGGTGCTGTTCATCACCAGGAAACCATGGCAAAAGTGCAGAAAAGTGCACTATGTGCTCGATCGGAATCGAGCTTCTCTCAGTGCAACCTATCGTAGCGTTCGTCTTACAAAGATGATCTCCACGCTGGCCGAAAAGGAGCCAGTGCAATTCTCAACCGATTCCAGGGACTCCTCGCACGACTGAATTGTTGTGCTAACAAGACAACATTTGGTGTTACCATTTTCTAGGCCACTGGCACTGTCTCTAACACACGAATAAGTATACATGTGTCGGAAAAATCGGATTCAGCTTTGATCGGGGTTGAACCAGTTCAAAGCCGTTCGAATGCCTGATGCCTCGGGCTGGCTTCGAACGCACAGTTCAGAATCAACCATGCGGTTCAAATCCATCCTGCGAGATCCAAGCTGTCCCATGGATCAAGGACCCTTCCGAACCTTCTCACCGCTTGTCTGCTTCTCAAACCCACCCACAACGATGGGGAGCAATTTTGCCGCAGTACCTCCTTGAATCTGACACCAAAAAAGAACAGGTTCAAAATGTTTGTATTATCAAGTTACGATACAGTGTGTATAATAAGGCGGAGGGGATATATGGGAAGTCATGCATCGACTCAGAGGGGGGTGTTTGGAGATGCGGTGGGTAAAGTTGGGGATCTGGGGGTAAATGCGAGTCGGCATGGATAGACAAACAGCGGAAGGGGGTTGAACGTAGTACAGAATTTACAAGAGGGCAATATACTGAAGGTTCAGGTCAGTGAGAGGACTGGTCGAGACGTATAGGAAACGCACCGTTTATGCCAAGAGAAGTTCTTTGTGGGCTTCGGTGACTCGGTGATGAGTTTGGCATTCGAGACGGAGCTATCGCAATGCGGACAATCCCCCATGCGCTACCTGCATGCAGACATCTCAAAGGAGGGAAGGTGGTTGGCGGTGGTGGTGGGAGGGAAGGAAGAGAGCTGGGGCTGCAGCGCCACCGAGTGGTGGTTGATATAGGCTGCCCCACATCAATGATGTCACTTCGCTCCACTCCACTCCACTCCACTCCCACTCCCTCCTCCGATGCGTATTCTTCGCCGCACGTCCTCGGATACAACCCACGTTTCTGACTCTTAACCCGAGCGAGAAGCTCGCCGGCGCGATAATGCTCAAATATCCTTACCACCCGACTCGCCTTCACCGCGACGCACCCCACTCTCTTCGATATCGAGTACTTTGGTCAACAACCAGCCTATCCGAACCCCTTCACTCGAAAGACGACTCTTGGGTCTGGAGGGGGAGATTTGTGAGCTTAAACACGACCTCCGTGTTTTAACGGGCAGGAGTGCGTTTATTACCTTCTTCTTGGTTACTGACCCCCGGTGGAAAAGCCAAGTGAGCCTGCGGAATCACCCCCATGCACGCCCTTCCTGAAACGCCGCAGCATCGTTTACGATGGCGCTCCTTCCGAGATGCCCATCCTACGCAGCTCGCTGATGGCAACCACCCCGGAGCGCGACGAGCTAGCACACTGTGGCGGAGGACATCCAGCAGTCCCTCCGCCAGTCCCAGCGTCGACTCCTTTCCGAGCGCACCCCTGCCGCACCACATCCACTGGGGACCAGGAAGCGTTTGTGACGACGAGTGCCCGAATCTATGTAGCAAATGTATTACTTACTCCAATTCACTCGAGTTCATTCACTCTGCTGCGTCCCATTATCGTTCACGAGATCATGGATGAAAGGGCAAAATTTAAACATTAGAGCTTATTTGCAAACGGTATAAAAATATTGAACGATACAAAACCACTTGCGATCAGTAAGAAAATCCGCTCCACAAGTATAAATCGTCAGCGGAGCAACGATCATGTGAGCAAAGCAAACACAGTCCGACCGGCCTGTTCCACCACTTTAGCATTCGATACGACGTCCAGAGAGGCGGGGAGGACGTGTCGACGCGACGAGCAGTGAGCGCGCGAGATGTGCCAGTGAGAGTAGATGCCGACACTTCCCTGTTGGGACATCCAGCCGGCCTCGTGGTGTCTCCTTCTGGATGGCCATTTCAAGACAGAAAAACTCACAGCTCCACAACAGAAAAACAGATAAAACCTGATACGCAAAAATCCATTTTATACCGTTTGCAAATAAGCTCTATTCCTCGGAGATACATAACTTGAGTCGGACGGCATGGCACGGGATGGAACTTACGTCACGGACTCGAACAGCTTTAAACTGCTTCAAACTCTCCCCGCCATACGTTCAAAGCAGTTCAAAGCCATCCAAAGGTCCCATGCCAGAACATGCCGTTGCATGCTGGCTGGGATTTTTCCGACACATGCTCTTCAAGATGCTCTTCAAGTTCGCAAATCTTCGTCTCGGCTACGTTGGACATGGGAATGCCGAGGAAAACTGCCAGACAAATGAGGACCACCCTGCAAGTTGTTCAATAGCAGCGGTTGGATATCTACCCCGGAGTCCCTCTGGGTCAACGGCCCCATAATAGTTCCCGAGCTTTTTATAGGTCCGTGTGAACTGCTTCTGGTATAAAGAAGGTCTGGTAGGAGTACTTGGCTTGCACGCTACCATGAGAACCCTCCCTCTGTTAACAATTTCGGTAGCATTGGTGGCTGGGCAATCCCCAGTTATTGTGCGTCGCGTCCTATTTATTTTTCCCTGCTAATGCTGTTTTTTGCATTTCCAGCGCGAGGATAAACGAGCGTTCGCCGTCCTCGATCCTCACGGGCCATTCCGAAATGGATCCCAGCGATTCGAGCCCACCCCGAATGTCAACCTGACGCCTCCGTATTTCCAAGTTTACGACGACAGGTTTACTGAAATCCTGGGCCCGAATCCAACCATTCGTGTCATCGTAGGTTCGTATAAGGGATACGAGGTGCACGACATAGACTAAAACCATCCGTTAAGAGAACGACACGTTCGCGTTTGCTCATGAAGCACCAATGTGGGTGGAGGCCACAAACGAGGTGTTTTTCAATGGGGGGAGAACGGTTGGCCGTCCGGTAATTGCCCATCATTCCCCATCGTTGATGATGCCACAAACTTACGGAACCCTCAGGTCTCCGTAATAAATTTAAACGACCTAAAAAATAGCACGACGGGGCTGATCAATTTCACAATACTACCTCTCAGTGACGATATACAGATTAACAATGGCGGGACCCTCTTTCGGGGCGACCTTTTACTTGTTACAACTGGAAATGGTTCACTTCCCCCGAGTTTAGTCAGAGTCAACCCCAGCCCGCCGTTCAACGACACCGTTATATTGAACAATTTCTATGGCCGCCAGTTCAACTCATTGAATGACGCCAAGGTTCATCCTGAGAGCCGTGCTATATTTTTCACCGACGTTACGTGTGTCAACCAAGCCCTGGGCTGGTTCTCCATCTGACGGTTTGCTCAGTTATGGGTTTGAGAATGGCTTCCGCCCAGCGCCTTTAATCCCCAACCAAGTCTATCGTTTTGACGCGGATACGGGCGAAGTACGCGTCGTCGCAGATGGATTCACTCAGCCGAATGGAATTGCGTTCTCGCCGGATGGGAAGACTGCATACATGCACGTCATCCGTGTTTCTCAAGTGTTTATGACCTGAACAGCCAGCCAACAGCGCGGACTCTGGAGAGTCCGAAGGGGT